AGTTTGAATGATGCGTCGAGCCTCAGTGTATGCAAGATGAAATAAATGTATGCAAGCATAAGATATGCTAATTGAAACATGTCCCTAATCTAACCATCAAAAGCAGATAAATAAAAGGGAGAAAAACGTGGGGTTGGAAGACATGCACATTATTACAACATTTTGCTCTCACGTAGAAGAGTTCGAATGAATTACTAAGCTAAGCTAATTATTACAAACCAAATGAATAACTAGAATGAACAATTAGTTAAACTAATTAACTAATTATTACAACACTTGAACGAATCAACTAACTAACTAATTAAATAATTACAAAACAATTGCAACAAATAATTAAAATAAGTAACTAAACTAAGCCGATTAGCTATTCTGCCTCAGGAAACGAAGGATGTGCATGCGCATGCTCGGTTTCCACTCGAAAAGACCTCTGTTTTGCTCTCGAAAGCCTCTGTTTGCACCAATGAACACTTCCAAAACAAACTTGCTCCACCTTGGCCACTAGTGAATATTGCCAGCCACCTACCGGGCATGGATGATGGTCTGTCGACCACTGATGCACTGGTTCATCTTGCAGCAACAGAGGACAAATTGAGCATACATAGGGTATTTTCAAGGATTGTTTACACAACTCACACCTCATTTTCATGAACAAATCCAAGGAGTGATGAACTTAAGCCACAAACCACCAACTTAAGCAATTTCATTGCATGATGGCTTGTGACTCAAGAGGTACAAGTTCAATAAATTCAAAATGAGACACAAACCTCCTCCTTTTCATGAAAGATCAAAGGAAGAAGTTGACCTTGGAGACTTGGATTATTTCATTACTAGCATGTATGAAATGGTCCAAGTTCCATCTGTTCAATTAACATCCAATTGAACACACCAAGTTATTATCTTGCTCATCTTTTAGTCCCAAGTTTCAATTACTCATTTTACTTTACCAACCATTCTTTAATCAAATTAAGTCCAATAGGTGAATTAAAGTCCTCTAATGGAAAGAGGGTTCAAAACACAAGTTGTTTTAGGTATGAAAGAAGTATCATACTATTAGTAATGAACCCCCTAAGGGATTAAACCATTAAGTATGAAATCTCAATTTCACACTTAGGCAAGCAAGTGACTTGAAACTACTTTCAAAGCGAAATTAAAAGCCAAGAAATAAGAGAGGTTAAAAAGATGATTAGTGCTGAAAGTGTGAAAAACACCAAAAACATGCCATCAACTCAAACAAATAGTGCCTAAAGGCCTAAAATACCAAGCTTGTGAGGACTATTACACTATAACTATGCAAAACAAAGTTCAAATGCAATAACCAACCCAAATCAGAGTTAAAACAATCCAAAATAGAGGCTAAAACATGTTGGAATAATAAAAGGCTAGAAAAATAAGCAAAAGCATGGCACTAACTAGACTAACAAAAAAGACACAAGGAGAGGAGGCTAACTCCTCCAAATTTGGACTTCAAAACCTAATTTTTACCACTGAAAATACTCTGAAAATCAATGTTTAAAGGCCCAAAAAAAGATGGATTGAAAATGAAAAACAAAAGTGAAATGGCCTTAGAATGAAGATGGGTGAACCACCCCCTAACCTTTAATGGCCAAAAACACCAATTCCAGCCCACAAAAATAGAGTTTTTTACAGCTCAAAAATAGTCCAAAACAGTGGGAAAAAGATAGGAAAACAAGTATGTAAAGCAAGCTAATAAAACAAGTATTATACCTCTTGAAGAGAAGAGTACCTCTAGGCCACAATTCAAGCCAAAACTAGCTTCAAGAGATCCGAGAAGGCCTCAAGGAACCTCAACTCAAAGATGAGAGGATTTGGTTAAAGAAGTATAGGCAAAAGTGTAGTGTAAGTAGGCAAAAGTGTAAAGAATCTGTAGAGAGAGGAAACATTTTTACTCTAAAATTTTCTAACCTCAAAACATGAGAGAGGGGCGTCCTATATATAGAAAACATGAAATTTCTAGGAGGAGATTCAACCCTCCGCGTGTGGATAGATGCAAGCATCTGTGTAAACAACTAGCACAGCTGGCATTAAATATCTGCCGAAAACACCAATGGTCGGCTGGCCATCACTGGTGGCCGGCAAGCCACATTAGTGGCCGGCACACCAAAAGTGATAGCTGGTAGGCGACCAGAGGTTGCAGGCTGAAAGACTAAGGCATGGTTCAAAAATAGGACAAAAAGAATGTAGGGTTTGAAAGGCTCAAAGTTGTAGCATTCTGCTGAGAACTTCAAGCATTTGGTGAGCAAACAGACTCATCATCGGGTGTACCTACAAGGACGTCCAAGCCGTAAGGGCTGTCAAAAATGGGGTGTCTATACTTGCAAAAGTATTGAGAGTTCAAAAATCGCTCGAGCGCAAGAAGTGTTGCTCGAGCGAAGAAGCAAAATTCTAGACAACAATTTGAAAAACAAGCTACCAACTTATTCCAAACGCAACCAACACATCCCAATAGCAAACTCAAGGAGAAATAAGGGAAACAAGACATAAAAAACTATGTAAGACAATGAAACCCAGATCCAAAACATCAAATGGTTTGGGTTTAAATCAGAATCGCTATAAGTTAGATATAATAAAATAATTTTATGCCAGGTTGCTATCAATATATCATTATTTATCTAATTTTAAAAAAATCTTGAAATATGAAGGGCTAAAATATGAAGGGAAAAAAATTGTGAAAAAAAACACTTTAAAGACATAAGTTAAAAAAGACCAAACATAAAGGGGCGAAGCGTAATTTACCCATAAATAAAAAGATTACTCATATTAATACACACTCAACATTAATCCATTGTCACACTTTATCTTTCTATTTTTAAATTAAAAATAAAATGTAAACATCATTTACTAATCAATGTGAATATGATATATCTATCAATCTCTGTGACATATTAGAGATGCATGGTACGTAAATACATATATTTGAAAGTTATTATAGATGCATGGTACGTAAATATATATATTTGAAAGTTAATTGATTTGAAATTAATTAGAGAGATGCATTGAATGGTTCAACTTATTGTAAACTGTAAAAAAAATGAAAGAATTTTAACATGGTACAGACATTACCGACATTAACCAAAATATTGTATAAAATACTTCTTACTCGTAAAGATTGTGAATCCCACACCGGCACACAAGTATGGGTTAAAAAAATAAATACGCTCGAAATCTTAATTCAACTTGGCCTTATGGGTCATGTCAAAAGTTTTATCTCAATCCTTAAGTTCATGTTCGATACACAAACTAATTTTTTTGGTATTGGGACTATTATAAAATTAAGATTAGGATTAGTAACACCTACGATGAAGGATGAGATTATTTCAAAAATCAACAAATTCATCAATTTATTATATATATATATATAAATAAAATTTGAAATTTAAATCAAACTATAAATTATATAATAATAATACTATTTGAGAGCCGACAAATTGTAGTAAATAATTTTTGGTATATAAATGTGATTATCATATTATTATTATTTCTTCTTTAATAATGCTAAATAACCATTTTTTCTTGCAAGATATGTCACTATTGCATTAGCAATAGTAATGAATTAATGAAAACAAGTTCTTCCACATGTGTTATTAGCATACAATAAGTTTAAACTGAATTAAACCCCAACACTAATCATATTAAATAATTCTAACAACATAATTCAAACCAAATAGTTGTAACATCTTATCATTGCCTCCCTACCCAAATTAACTAGGTTATTATTGTACCGACCATCCAAGACTAGGTCATTGTGCTATCCATTTTTGACCTAGGACATAGTACCAACAGCCTCTAGCCAAGCTAGTGAGCACAGACAGTTGCAGACATATTATTTTATTTATATTTTATATGATTGATATTGTAATAGATTTTGAGTAAAAATTATTCAATGCCCCTCTTTCTATTGCAAACATTGATTTGTGTGGGCACATATCAATGACTTGGATGGGTTTGCAACACACAACCACTAACGATTGTGAATCACACGACTGTGTCTGATTATTGTATTACAAAACAAAATGATCACGGTTTCCAAATATCAATTGAGTTCAAAATGGTGTCCACTCTACATGTACGATTATGATTGTCTAAAATTGGGTTGGTTGATTCACCAAAATTCACACAAAGACCACCTACCTAAATCTAAGGGTTTAGGTAGTTCAAGCCATCACCCACTTGGATGATTAAAATATTATATTTTTATTAACTTATTTTGGATTAAAAGGATTCAGTGTCATCCCTCGATTATATGTATAGTGAGAATACGTATACTATGTTTGATTAGGGTTAGAGGAGGATTATTTCGATTATAAGATGGAATGATGGAATAATATGATTAATTTTATAATCATGGGATTAGCACTATTATAAAGTGATATTACTAATCTCACACGATTAGCAATGCGATGGTTACTAGTACAATTACATCATTTGTTAATTTTTTTGTTAAGTGATATTTTGTTAACGTATTCAATTTTTATAATCAAAATAAATTTTCTTTCCATTGCATAGCTTTCAATGATCATGCATGGAAAGCCCTCAATGGCTTTTGTAAAAGAAACGTTTTGCTACTCAATAAAGAATTCAAACATGGATTTGCATGTAAGATGACAACCATATTTCATAATCTTATGTGACGAATTTTTTTTCTATTTTTATAATGAGGTCCAAGTCATGAATCCTCTAATTCAAACACAACTAACAACAAAGAAGTAATCAAATGGAGAGGTGAGGAGGGGCAGCGTTAGCTATACAAAGGATAATACACAATTAATTGGTGGCAAATATAATGAGCCAAAGTTGGATTAAGTTAATAAGATAAAGTAGAACAAAGGCAATTGAAACATACTTAAGCATTTTTAAGAAGAAATGATGGAGAACTTCATTCCAATACACAAAATTGTGACACATTATTAAAATCTAGAAGAATGACACATCATAAGTGAGGTGCAGACTGCTTTTATAGGTGGAAGGTGTATTCTTAGCAAATGAAGTTATTGAATGGTGGAAATCTACAAAAACATAGAGGAGTGATTTTGAAGCTTGATTTTGAGAAGGCTTATGACTCAATAAACTGGAATTTTTTGTTCTTAATGTTGTCCAATTTCGGATTTGGGAAGAAATGGCTTGGCTGGATTAAGGAGTGTTTATCTTCATCTAGGATTTCAGTTCTGGTAAATGGATCACCCACTGATGAGATTTCACCTCAAAAAGGGTTAAGGCATGGGGACCCACTATCACCGTTCTTGTTTAATCTAAAGGATAACTCAATTAATTGGTGGCAACTATAATGAGCCAAAGTTGGATTAAGTTAATAAGATAAAGTAGAACAAAGGCACTTGAAACATACTTTAGCATTTTTAAGAAGGAATGATGGAGAACTTCATTCCAATACACAAAATTGTGACACATTATTAAAATCTAGAAGAATGACATATCATAAGTGAGATGCAGACTGCTTTTATAGGTGGAAGGTGTATTCTTGATGGTGTCGTGATAGCAAATGAAGTTATTGAATGGTGGAAATCTACAAAAACATAGAGGAGTGATTTTGAAGCTTGATTTTGAGAAGGCTTATGACTCAATAAACTGGAATTTTTTGTTCTTAATGTTGTCCAATTTCGGATTTGGGAAGAAATGGCTTGGCTGGATTAAGGAGTGTTTATCTTCATCTAGGATTTCAGTTCTGGTAAATGGATCACCCACTGATGAGATTTCACCTCAAAAAGGGTTAAGGCAAGGGGACCCACTATCACCGTTCTTGTTTAATCTAGTGGCTGAGGGTCTAAACTTGTTATTGAGAAGTTCAGCAGTTGGGGCTATTCAAGGGAGCTGCTGTGGGGTCTAATGGTATGAGTGTCTCACATTTGCAGTTCGCCGATGACATAATCATTTTCTATGAAGCTGATTCAGAGGAGATATTTTCGATTAAAAGGGTGCTTAGATGCTTAAAAGTGATGTCGGGCCTAAAGATAAACTTCCATAAAAGTGTTGTGTGTGGGGTAGGTGTTTCAGATAGGGAAGTGTCAGATTTTGCGGCAATATTGAATTGTAGAATTCACAAGGTGCCTATGTGTACTTTGGCATACCCTTGGGGCCTAATCCAAGAAGACAGTCAACTTGGCAACTAGTAATTGATAAAGTAAGGAAAACGTTGTCTTTGTGGAAAAGGAAGTTGTTGTCTTTCGCAGGTAGGCTACACTAATAAAATCGGTGGTGTCTTGTTTACCTTCTTACTACATCTCTATTTTTTAAGATTCCTAAGGGAGTGGTGAAAACAATTAAGAAACTGCAGGCTCTGTTTTTGCTGGGGGGAGTGAGATTAAGAGGAAAGTACATTTAGTAGGGTGGACGGAGGTTTCTAAGTCTTAAAAGTTAAGGTCAGTGATATGAATTCTAGTTTACTCTTGAAGTGGTGGTGGAGATATGGTGTTGAGGATGATGCACTGTGGAGGGCAGTAGTGTGCAACTTGTATGGAAAAGAGGGTAGAGGGTGGTGGCCTGAGATAAGGGTAAGAGGTAGAGTGTCCCCAATTTGGCAGGGTGTATTGAGTATTGCTAAAGATAACCCACTGTTGGTAGAGTTTTATTTGGAAAATGCAAGAGTGAGGACTAGGAATGGGGAAAGAACCAAATTTTTGTTTGATAAGTGGTGCAACAATAGAGTGTTAAGTGAGGAATTCCCAAGATTGTTCCAGTTATCAGAGGACAAGGAGGATTATGTCATGCAGTATAGGCAGAGAAGAGCAGGGTCAGGATAGTGGATTTTGAGGTTCCAAAGACAATTAAGGGCCTGGGAAGAAGAAGAGGTAAGCAGATTAAGTAATTGGTTGAATGATGGCCCTTCAGAGAGAGGGAATTTGGTTGATTGTTTGCATTGGAAGGTGAATTCTTCAGGACAGTTCACAGTGGCATCTGTATAGAAGTGGCTTCAAGCTGATAAGGGCATGATCTATGCATGGCTAAAAGGTTATGGAAGTCTGTGGCACCACAAAAAGTGCAGTTCTTTAGGTGGCTAGCCTAGAGGGGAAGAGTAAAGACAGCTAAGTTTTTACATAGGATTGGTGTGTTAGATGATCATGTTAGAATGTTGTGTGCCTAATGCAGTAATGCAGTTGAATCTGTTAATCATGTTTTACTTCATTGCCCACTGGTATGGAGGGTATGGTCTGCATTAGTAAGCTGGTGGGATATGTGTTGGCTGGTACCATATTCAATTGAAGCCATGTTACAAATGTGGGTTGCGGTGAAACTCAAGAAGAATGAGAGGAAAATCTGGAATTTGGTGCCACTAGTAATGCTGTGGTCAGTGTGGAAGTTGAGGAATGATAAGTGTTCAATGGGGGACATCCTAATTTTGCTGATCTAGTGGATATAGTGAAGTCAAGGATAGCTTTTCGGGGAAAGAGCAATATTGCAGGGGTGCAGTACTCAGTTCAAGACCTAGTGATTAACTTGAATAAGGTTAGACAGTGTTTGGGGTGAGGGTGCTGCTGGGTCCTGTTGTTGGTGTGTTACTGATGGGGTTTGTGTTCAGGGCTGTAATTGTATTTGCTGGGATTTGAAGGCGTTTGCATTATGTTGGGCTACTTCTGGTTGAGCAGCAGGTGTAGCAGTGAGATTAGAAGCTCTGCTTTTGCTGTTGCTGAGACTGTGATGCTGCTGAGATGCTGAGATGATAAGTTGCTGATGTTTATGTTGCTGATATTGTTGTGGAGCAGTTGTTGCTGCTGTTTGTTGATGATTAGCAGTTGTTTGCATGAGGTTGCTTGTTTGTTGGACTTTGTTGTTGTTGTTAAGTACCTGTTGTTTGCTTGTTTGTTTTTGCTCTATATGTTGGCTACTCACCAACTTGGAACTTGGAGTTTGTGCTAGCAGATGATCCGGTGTGCATCTTGGTGCCAACCTGGTTGAGATCTTGATGTTTCATTGTGATGCTTTTTGCACCCTCCTTTTTATTGATGTATTTTATCATACTTTGTATTTTTTTTTTTCATCAATAAAGCTTTGTTTTTGCTGATCAAAAAAAAAAAAAAGGTTATAAATTTGTGATAAAATTTACAAATTTTTGTGATGTATGTATATCACTATCTATGATGTGTACCTCAAAGTGAAAGTTACAAATCATTGTGGTTATATGATGAATAGTGTGGTGTTGATGTTTTGAACAATTTGTGGTACCAAATGTTACGAACTACACGTGACACTATAACAATTAAGGTTTTAAAAATAAAAATTTAGAGACGAAATCACTTTTTCATAAATGAAATATCTTAATTTCCAAAATTGTTATTGTTGTATTTTGAACAACGAAATTAGACATTTAGTAATGAATTTCCATTATTTTGGGATCAATTTTCTTCTAAGAAATAAATTTGTTGGCATGAAATTATTGTCCCTAAAAGTACATTTATTAGTGACATTTTTTAAAATAATCCTTAAATATCTTTTATTAGACTTTTTCGGGTCTTTTTATCACGATTGAAATTGGTCTCCAAATATTTTTTGTAACAAAACTTTTATTTTTGATGAAGAAAGAATTTGCCCATATGGTGTGTCAGAATTACTTAACACTAACATAATCTGTTTATTTTTTCATGTATGACGTGTCATTTTTTATTTGTGACCCATTCGTATGTGTTAAAGTGTCATGTTAAAAAACTTCACCCTTAGTTAAAAATATCAAATGTATGGAAAAATTAAAAAAATTCTCAAAAATTAAATTTTATAAAACTAATCTCTACTGGATTGAATTATACATAAAAATGTTTGATTTCAAACTCAATCTCATTTACCCAATTTTCTTTAAATAAATAAATTTAAAAAAAAAAACACTATACCTTAATTATCATATATTTATGTTTGATCATTTTCCTATTTTGGCAAATAAGGGGAAGAGATGAGCGGTGAAAGTGAGTGGGGAAAGGGATTAGTTGGCAAAGGAGTGTGGGACCAAGATGGAGTAATGAGGAAGGAGTTTGATGATGCGCCCAATCAAGAATGAGAGAGAATTAAGGGAGAGAAATATCTCAATCAAACAATGTTCAATATTTAAAAATTAGTTACAATGTAGTTATGACTCTTCTAGATATAGGCTACATATTCCCACCACTATCACATGCCAAGCACATAATATCCTACATTATACTCTCCCACTCGAAAGAACTTGTCCTCAAGTGAAAACAAACAAAATACAACCAATGCACTAGAAATGAAATACAAAACTAGAAAGTACAATACAAACAAATTCCACAAAGGAAACTAATCTACAATAAAAGGAAATGGCACCAGTGCAAGAAGAACTCAGCAACAAAGGAAGTGACTAGGTAGTTGCAATTGCTATTCAAGATCACCCTAGCAAATATCCTTCCATAAAAATGAGTTCTCGTTTATGCACATCAACCGAAGCCATGTTGAGGTGTGAATAGGCCACCCATGTACATGTTGTTTTGGAAGCAAGTTGTTATCAAAATAACGCTTCTCGCATGGCCCAAGAATAAACTCGTCTACACCAATACTAAATGGAACAAATGGCTTTGAAGATAGCATAAGAGGCATTTCTTGGAAGCAACGTTCATTCAACAACCATGTAACTTCAATGTTATGACTCTCCACCATAATTTTCATAGAATATAGAAAAAGGATAGAAGGTTGGATTGAAACCACTTCCTTCATGGGAAGCAATATTTCATTATCGTGTTCTTCATCCTCATGTACACTTTCATGCTCTACAAGAGGGTCGTCTTCATCATCATAGTTATCAAAAATTGGAACTCCTTCGTACTCACAAGCATCAACTTCTTCTTCATATTCATAAACGTCAACTTTCTCATAAGCCAACGCCTCACTATCGTCATCAAAGATGGAAACATCTAGATCATGGTGGTCTGGTTCCTTGTCTTGATCAAAGATAGGAAAATTTTCATCACAAATAGAAAGAGCTTGACCACAATCATGTTCTTGGCCACAATTTTCCTCCATGTCTTCTTCACCAAAGATAGAAGCTTCTTCCTCATCATATCTTGGTTCAACCACCTCGCCACTAAAGAGCATCTTATGATGATATCCCTCATCAAAAGTCTCTTGCACTCCAACACCAGTTGAGCAACCAACTTGGACATAGTCATAGGATGGTTGTCCGGTTGCAAAGCCACTTTGGCATTGATGTCCGGAACTTAAAATACCCTTCTTATGTACTCAACAAACAAAGATGGCACGTGAATAGAAGGTAAAAAGTGCTTCTTGAACTTCGTCATCTTTCTCTATTCTCTAATCTTTTCTTGGCCATTTCGTTGCCTACCAACTTGTAATTGTTTCCACCAATTAGAGGCACGACCTCCGAGCTTTGAGGGACAACTTCACCTTTTTTGCTTCCAGCACATCACAATACTCAAAATGGCTCTCAATTGTCTTCAACCATTCCTCGACACACATCTAGATTGTAGCTTCCACGGAATTCAGGAAACACTAAATCCTTGACGATACCATTCGACTCTGAATTCAACCCGTGTGAATATGCTCTAAGCCTATGTGGAGAACTAAAGAAATCATTAAGTTGATGATCCTTAGAACCATTACTACCTTTGGAATGAAGTTGCAAGTGGCGCACCTTTCCAACCAAGGTAGCTATTTGTGAACTCAAATATTTAATCTCATTCCGTTGATTTTGGTATCCAATGTTCCTTTCAATTAAAGGACTTATCTCGATTTCATCTTCCAAATTTGCAACAAACACTTGACCACGGCCACACTGTTTACAAACACTGTTCACAACACTGTTAATGCAGGAGTTACCATTCAAACCATACCTGATATACACTCATAGGTTCCAATCAAACCAAACTCAATTTCACAATCAAAGAGCAACCCAATATCAATCCAATTCAAGATTAACTCCCAGCAGTATCAAGAAGCAAGAAGCAAGAAGCAGGAAGCAAGAATCAAGATTCAAGAACCAAGAACCAAGAACCGAGATTGCAATACAATGTCAAGAATAAGAATCAAGATCAAGAATTGTGTCCCACAATATCAATTCATGCAAATGGGATCAATTCATAAAAACTGATTCAGAACAGTCCTAATGAAAAAAGAAAGTCTAATCAATTTACCATGATCAAGCCGAAAGCGAACAGTAGCAGGAATCATGACTGGAAATGAAGGTTCAAACACAATTGATGAGTTTGAAGTGATCAACTCAGTACGTGAATTAGATTCAAAGCTTTGCAGGAGATTTCAAAAACCAGCTAGGTTCGTAAGGCTGATTCGACGATTGTGACACAAGATTCTATCTAGAGTCGAAGGTCAAACTGCGACTAAACTTGGATTCAAAGTTATGGACAACAATTGTACCCCATTTAAAATCTAGATTCAAAACTTGGATTCAAAGTTATGGACAACAATTGTACCCCATTTAAAATCTAGATTCATAACATTGAACCTTAATTTGATCCATAAATGCAAGAATGAAGATCTTTAGCAAGGAGTTAGTTCACAAATTGAGGGTTTCAATTCGTCAAGAAATCAAATCACAAGCACAAATCGATTGAAGGTTCTCCGACATAATTTTTTTCAACTCAGCAAAGTTGACAAACTAGGCCAGAACAGAAGTTGGTTTACCAGAATACAGATCAATCTAGGGTTAAGATGTGAACCCAGTTACTATTAACCAAAAACCAATAGGAATCCTTCTTCATCCAGTTGAAATCGATGATCAATGGGCAAGAATCGGGTTAGATTCTCAAGCTTTGATACCAAATGATGATGAGCCTAATCAAGAATGAGAGAGAATTTAGAAAGAGAAATATCTCAATCAAACAAGGTTCAATATCTAAAAATTAGTTACAAAGTAGTTATGACTCCTCTAGATATAGGCTACATTTTCCCACCACTAACTATCACATGCCAAGCATAGGATATCCTACATCAGAGTTGCAGTGGCAAAGGAGACTGTATGGTACAAGTTTCAAATGCCAGAGTGAGATGACATTTATGTTACTTTATTTGAGATTCCATTTATTTGTAATTTGTTTTTTATTTGTCCACTTGTTTTGCAATTTTTAAAGATCTACAACTAAATTGTAAATGGTTATTCTATGAGTATAGGTTCTCTATTGTGTAGTGCAATATGTAGTGATTGTGTCATGTCAAAAGTGGAAAGAATTGAGAGCTGAGATTTTATTTAACAAAACGATATCGTTTGTTGGTTTTTTTTTTTTTTGGTCCTTACTCGCGTGTCTCTTTCTCTCACGAACAAGAGTGAACACTACAACAAAAAACACATTTTATAACATTCGACGAATGCTATCAAAAGTAAACAATAGCATTCCAACGAATGCTATGTTTTCCCATGTTATTAAAAGTGTATCATTTTTAATAGCATTTATCGAATGTTATCATTGAACACTATCGTAAATATATTGTTATTCTGTGATAGAAGCTGAAAAATTTCTTGAATACTGTAAAATGGTGGGGTGTCATAGATTTGTCCAAAAATTTGTGAGAGTTGGCAACATGGTGGATTGTAATGGATATGATGATGTGATGAAAAGTATTTGGAAATCTCTATTTTATGTAGTTTTGTCATTTATTTGGTTCTCAAGGAATTACCCTGTTTTCAATTAGACATAGATGTGACTACTATGAACCTAAGGAGAACGTAAAAGTTTGAGCAATTTTTTGGTGAAGGTAAAAAAAGAGGCATTATTTTTCAGCATTGATGATTGCTAGTCTTGAAATGTGGGAGTAGGAGGAATGAAAACTAGAAAGCTATTCAAGTTAGATTGGCTCTTATAATGGCAATATTAGTGTTTTCATAATAGGTAGTATGTTGTTTCAATAGAAGTTTTTGTGGTGTTTTGTATTTGTTGTTATGTTGTTATCTTACTAACTAATTCACACTTGTTGATTTGACTTCTTCAGCCCTTTGGGCTTTTACTTACTCTTTTTTTTTGTAATATTCTATCTCTTAAAAAAGTGTTACTTCTTTTGTAATATTAAGCATTTCTTAATCTTCACTTTGTACTATCTTATCTCTTAATAAAGTGTACTTCTTTTGCATCTAAAAAATAGGAAAAAATAATTCATAAAAAAAAACATTTCTAGATTCTCTACAAATACATTTCTCAAGGTGGAAAAAGTAGAAACAAAAATAATAAGATGTTAATTGTTCATGAAGAGTAATTTTTTTAATCTTTTAAAAAATTACCAACTTGTAGAAGCGATCACTGCCCCATAACAACTTTGTCAGCTGGCCATGCAACCGTAGTACCCACAATGTCTTCGATGTAAGTCATGTCAGCAGTAGACCTCCGTAAATATGCTCCAATTTCTCTTGCAAGATCTACCCATACTCTTATCGCATTAGGTCCAATAGGAATGTGATGGACAAGTTATTTTGGATCACTCGAAGACCAACGCTCTTCAGCAACTACTTCCTATGACCTCATCTAATCCATCAACTTTCATTTCTTGTTAGGGGTGTTAGTGTTCTGACTCTTTAGTAACAAGGCAATGACAAATAAGAGAAATTGTCACTTATATAGGGTTGTTAGCTCCCACCCACTCTCTCTATATGTATGTATACACTATGTTAATATGTAAACCCTTCAATTTGGTGATTACCATTGAAACTTTCTTATGTTTCTCTTCTTGAATTCTTCAAATTTCTTTCCTAGCAAATCAATCAGGAAAGCATTGTTCCAGCACATATATTTTACCTTGCTTTGTCTCAAAAGCGTCTCTTCTACTTTCAAAGTTACAATTCCCTGTATATGTCATTGCATTTGCGTTTTTCTTTAACCCATTACTATTAGTATTAGATGGATATTGAAGTGGTAATCTATAGTTGATCTCTAAATAGAAATATACTAATAGAATGGAAATGTATGTGTGAGTGCATGTGCACACACTACTTTCATGTAAAATGGAATGTAAATAATATTTTTACCAAGGGAGAAACTATAGGTCTTGTTGATCCTTCTTCACTTGCTTGATTCTGAAACCAAAAAATAAAAGACAATAATGTAATTTTGTTAAAAGTTAGAAAACTATATAACTAAATTTAATAAATGCATAAAACTACTTGCCTCATTTTTCATTAGATGACTAACTAAGCTCTCCAAATGTGCCACTCTTTCTTTCAATTGACTAGCTTCTTCTTTTACTTGAGTTTTATAACTATTCCTTTGTGAGAGTACACATAATTTAGTAAAAGTAACTCCTTTACTAAGCCCGCTTATTCTCCCACGATTCTCACAACCAAGTATTTTTTGACATAGCATCTTCTTTTACCTTAAGAACAGATAATGATACTGGATCATCAAGTTCAACTTGTTTCAATTTATCCTGAAAAAATAATAACATTATTTTTACATCTTAGAAAACAAGGATGACCAATAGCGGTGCCAAGATATATTATTAAAAAAAAAATTATTGAACAGAGAAATGTTCTTACAATAGTTTCAGCAACAGTTGTGTTTATGTGAATCATGTCCACTACCCCCATAAAGTGGTTTCGTGGGATGTTATTACTTCCCTAATGGCTGGAAGTTATGAAGAATTATACTTGGATCATGGATCCAAGCCTATCTATATATACTTGTGAACATGGCTAGAAATTAGGTTTTTAGTGGCGTTTAAAAACCGCCGCTATATCTATCAAAAACGTTGCTAATTGTTTTCGTGGCGTTTAGTACCAAACATCGAAAATGCGGCCGTCGTCATAGCTTTATGACGCTTTAAAAGCGTCGCTAAAAACGCCGCTAAATGTCCTACCCTAACACCATTATGACATCACTATGATTTAGCGATGTTTTCAAAACGCCGTCATATCTTTTTTAAAACACTAGCCGTTAGCTTTAGAGTTTAGGTGGCATTTCTCAAAACGCCGTGATATCCTCTTTTTTTTAATTTTTTTTTTAATAAAAATTGTGCTAATTTTATGTGATTGAACAAAACAATACCTTTAATAAAATTGAATAGCACAAATATGAAATAATAACTTTCATTCAAATAGTAAATGTAGCATTAATTCACTTTCCCATTCAATTTAATATCCAATCATCATTACCAACAAAATAACATATTCACAAATGATGTTTTAACATTACTCACAAAATAACATATCCAAAAATTGAATTTACAATTCTCAACCAAAAAATCAAATGATTCATAAGCAAAGGACCTGATCCTTGTATTTTACAATAATGTTTTTATGTGTAAAGCACATGCTTCTTGTTGTCACTGTTCTTGTCAGGATGCAGCTCACCAACAAAACGTATAGCATTGACAAGATGATAACATAAAGCATTGAATTAAACATCGGAAAAGACTCAAAAATTAAAAATAAGTTTAATAACACAAGAAGTATAAAAAAAAAAAATAAAAAAAAATAAAAAATAAAAAAATATTGTTAATACATACCCTAAAGCCGGATAACACATAAATAAAACCAAACTAGCATCAAATAACTTGTAAAGGACATAAAATGAGACCCAAATTGACCAAAAATTTGATCGGATGAGGCCCATAGGCACTAAAACCTTTACAAATTCCAAACTTTCACTTTCTAGTTTGCATTCTCTACATCATGTATCTCCCTATTCTTAGACAATGTTAGCAATCTCTAAACTTCAACAAGAGCTCTGCAATTTCAATATTTTCTAAATTTGGACATTTCAAAGAATGATAACATTAAATTAAAACTCAAGATGGTATATAGCATGGAAAAAATACCAAAATCTGCAATATTTATTGATATGAAATTCTCAAAAGCAACCATTCAAGAAAATAAAAGACATCAACAAATATCAAAAACGCAATAAAAGTCAGGAAACAAAATACATACCCGAATAAATAGCCGATGGAGGCATGTGAGCATCACTGAAACTTGGGGATTCAGGCCAAATTCCTACTTTGAGCAGTGCTTAAAATTAATTGCAATTTCATAGAGTGTGAGAGAGATATGTTGCAAATCAATATGTTTCACAACAATTTGAGAGTTGTGTGTGTGAAAAAAAACTCTACTACAATCTTAACAGTGGCAAGAGAGACCGGCACGCCTTTGTTAGCAAAAACAGTGACAAAGAGAGGATTAAAAAGAAAAGTGGACTAGAATGATGAGTGTTTTTTGATTAAACAAAATGAACCTATAATTTCTAAAATCATAATGAAAAGTCTCATTTTAGTTCGAAATCATAATGAAGAGTGAGGAAGGGCATTGTTAGCTCACATACTTGTGACTTCAAACAAACAGAGCATCGAAGAAAATGATAATGGGTACTCATTAAAGAATGAGCAAGTGTTGTATTCAATGAGCACAGATAGTCTGTTTGTTTTCTACTCCTAATCCTAGGAAGAGCCTAGAGGTCATGTCTCCATAATGAACTAATAAATGAACATTGTCTAATTTGTGCATATACATACAGTGATACTAATCAATGAAACCAATTGTTCTCGATAGAAAGGGAAAGACAACTAACCGATATCAATGAAGCCGATAACGACATTAACTTGGTTCTTGGTGGAATACCCAGGGATTTCCATGGTTTCTTCTCCCAAAAGACCCATGAAATCCCATGAATGAGTCGTGTGAAGCCTCCTACGGTTGTTTGGAAACACCGACACCACTCCAGGCATCTCTGTGTTTCAATTTTTAAAACCATGACATTGATTTTTCAGAGCCATGGATATAAATCAATCCATTATGCTAAGAAATGGTAAAGATAATAGTAAATACTACTATTGTATTGACATACTGGCAATTTCAAAAGCTTGGTCCTCTATCAACTTGGCTGTAAAGCCTCTGAAACCATGTCTGTAACTGTAGACATGAGATGCCCTGGCTTGTTCAACACTGTGTCACCAATTGAATGATTCAATCAGCACAACCAAACAATCCTCAATAAGAACAAGAAGAGGAACACAACAATAACATCAAACCATAAAAAAATAAAAATAAATAAAAAGAAAGTGTGAAAACATGACCATCTCCGCTTCCCATATAGACCACATAGACCTGCACACAAGACAAAGTTTGACCCAGTAACATAAATCCGAAAACAAAAAAAACAAAAACAAAGACGTTGAGTGAAAATATCATATCTATATCCACACCTTAGCAAAAAAAAGAGCTCATTTTGCTAAACAACTTAGTCAACCAAGCAATCCCCCTTTTACCCAAGCACTTCCAAGTTTCAATAGGAATATCATTGGGTCCTAAAGCATTATTTGATTTCATCTTCTGGGATTATCGATTAAAAAAAATTAAGTAATAGAAGGAAAGTAATCATGGTGAATGGGCCATCAAATGGAAGCCATTTCCCAAATTATTTGAAGTATAGCTAGTGTTTTTCAGTTCAGAATGATTTCCCTAGGCCATGTCGAATATAATCTATGAAGCACGGACACGCATACGGACACGGACACGGACACGGGACACGGCATTTTTAAAAAAATGGGGACACGGACACGGCTGGGGACACAGCAATTTTTTTTTTATATAAATATTTTTATTTTAATACAAGTTAATTATTTTATTTAATTATTATATTTTTAAATAAATATGATTCTATTAATTTATTTATATTTTTTTTCTACTATTTTTTTGTGATTGATATGTATAAGTATATATTATATCTTATATATATACATATTATATAAGATATAAGATATGCCTTTTTATTAATATTAAATAAATATATATATTATATATATTATACCTAATATATATTTTTAATAATATTAAATAAATACACATGTATATATATATTATACCAAATAAATACATTAATATTAAACCTAATAAATATATATGTGTATATTATATATGAATTAAACCTAATAAATATATATATATTATATATATATATATAGTATATATGAATCAGATCAGATCGAGCAGAGAGAGCGAGAGACAGGGACGAGAGAGAGAGACTTACGGATGGAGGTCGACAGGCGAGGCGAGTCGAGGTCGAGGTCGAGGTCGAGGTCATGGGTGGAGGTCGACAAGCGAGAGAGAGAGAGAGTGACTTACAGTGGTCGACTGAATGGAGGTTGACAGGCAACTCGACTGGATCGAAGACCAGGTTTGTATCTTGACCTTTACTCTTCTCCTACTCTTCTCTTTTGCTCTTTATGTCCAGATTTGGACACGCGTGTCCAGATTTGGTGGACACGCGTGTCCCCGCCGTGTCTCCACCGTGTCCCCTAAATAAATACACAACACACAGTTGGGCATCACAACACACAGTTGATAAGTTGAAAATGCTATTCTCCAACACTGATCATTATCCCCAAATCACTGTCCCCAAACTGAATCTGATACCCGCAGATAACTGATTCCCAAAAATACTGAATTGGTGCCCGCATGCCTGATGCCCGAACTTGCAAACTGATACATGCATTCCCTGTAGAGACGCACTCTAAAAGCACATAACAAGCAAGTGAGAGCCAAAACACCCCTATATTGTGGTAGGGTTTCCCTGTCCTATTTTGTCAGGAGCTAGGGTTTCACTACGCACGCAGCGGTTTCAAACAACCTATAATTAGGTAAGTAACCTGTCCTATCTTGGAATAGTCACTATGGATTCCGATATGCACTAGGTCGAATGGTCAAAAAGAGTGCCCCGGTAAAATCGGGGTTTGTGTTCCCATCGTGGCAGAGCCCGCAACCGGTCAGCCTTATGGCACGCTTCTCGAAGCGAGCCTCCGGCAAATCATTCAGGAATAGCATACGGCAAACACGGTGTCCTAGGCGCACCAATGCAAATGCAATGCAAAGAAACACACAAGTGTAGTCAAAACTAGATATCACGAGTTCGAGTCAAGTTCTCTAATTCCCCAGCAGAGTCGCCAGAAACTGTAGACGTCCCCGAACGCCCCGGGAGGGAATCCCCTCCGTTCTGTTCAGTTGGGCTCACTACAGTTCAGGACTCAAATGTCACGGTCCTGTATCTAATCTCACAAAGTGCAATGCAAGACCGATGAATCATCAAAGAGTCCAAATCTGGCAAATCGTTTTTGAAAACAGATTTTTAGAAAGAAGTGCCAAACATGGACTACTTTGCCAGATACAGAGTCGCCACCTAAATATTTTATTTTTTGAGAAAATTTAGGAAACCCTGACTCGTTACCTAAGGTCACGTGTCCGTCATCACCAAAGTTGCCTCGGCTCGGGAACTTGGGTACGATTGGGGAAGGTCACTTCGTGAGCACCCCCGCTCGCCCGATCAAAGATCGGCCTCTACTGACCATGACATCAAGTTTTAAAAACATTATGCATTCTTATTCTGGTTATTAGCCTAGAATTACTATGTGATGCGCGCAGCATACAAGTATAGACCGGATCACCTGAATTGGAACAAAACATTTCATGTTTGTCTTTTAAAGCGGTTTGCTACTCGCAAGTAGGCTTAAAATGCAGATTTTGCCACCCTCGGGTGGGCTTAGAAAACATGGTTTTGCCACTATCTAGTGAGCTTACGACTCGCAATCAATGAATTGTTCCAATCCAAGTAATCCAACCTTCACCCACAGGCATTCAGACAGTTATATCACATAAGCAGTTAGCCTCATGGTAAGCATGCTATCATGGCAGTCACTCACACACATGCAAGGATGCTAAAGCATAAAGACTTACCGAGTACTCCGAGTCAAAGAAAGAAGCTAATTAGAAAACATGCATGAATCCTAACTATGCTAAGATGTCTAATGCAACACATGCAAGAATGCAACTAAGATAGGCTCGGCTATTCTAAGATGGCATATGAAATGCTACAAATATCATGTATTCAACTTGGAATTGAAATACGATGCAGTTAGTATGATGCGTCGAGCCTGGTGCATGAAATATAGATGAATGATGCGAACATGCAAGCATAAGTATGCTAATTGAAACATGTCCTAGTCTAACCATCATAAGCTGGTAAATAAAAGGGAGAAAGATGTGGGGTTGGAAGACATACATCACACACACGCACACTTATTACAATTGCGCCCTCACTTGGAGGGTCCGAATAATAATACCGTCCGAATAAATAATTACAGTCCGAATGAATAATTAAATATTACAAAACCCTAATTAATTAACAAATTAACTAGGAAAACAAAGTAAGCTAGCATGCTATGCTACGTGCAATGGACTGCCTCGGCTCTGTTTGGAATGATGGAGGATGTATGCATGCTCAATTTGCCTTGTCAGTAAATCCCATCGCGATGCCTTGACTCGCCTTTGTTTGCAATTGAATCCAAAAACTTGCACAAAGCTCCGAGAGGCTGAAACTCCACTCTGGGAAGTTGTGGAAGGGCCACCGACCAGCTATTGGGCTTGGAGACCACCCACCGACCAGTTTATGTGGGAAAAACCAAAAGGGGTGGTCGGCCTGCCAAAAAAGGTGGTCGGCCGACTAGTTCCTGCCTCCAGTTTCTGGTTTTTTCTGCAACGAAGGAAAGAGAAAGAGAAAGAGAAAGCAGGGTATTTGCAACACATGTGTGCACGACCACTCTCCCCATCATTGCACAAGCTCTAGGGAGTGTGGTCCTCGATCCTCATGCCACCAATCATGCATCTCGATGCATGATGGCCGAGGAGTCGAATTGCACGACTTAATATGAAATGAATGCACATATAAGCAAGTAAAGCCAACGACTCTATCATGGACAGTCAAGAGTGCCGGCGATCGAGAATCGAGGCACGTTTCGTCACTTGGAGTACGAAACGCCCCTCGTTTCCTGTGTTTGGACTAACTCTTACTCCAAACACAATGCAATATGCATGACATGCACAAATGCAACTAGCATGCAATCCTAATGCAATGCGGCCTAACCATGCAAACATGCAGGGATGAGATGCAAACATGCAACTAGCATACACAATGCTATGAACCATATGGCATACACAATGCGACTAACAACCTAGCATACGCAATGCAAGAAAATGAGATGGCATACACAATGCCTAAAACAACGTGGCATGCACAATGCACTAACATGCAACCTAACATACGCAATGCTATGGACTAAAATGGCATACACAATGCACGATGGACTTACACCAATATGAGTGGACCTCTGCCACACTCAAATCAGTGGTCATGTGATGGAAATGAGACAACCGAAACACATGCAAACATGCACGATGCAAGGGACTGATCCTAAGGCATCAAATGTCACTTTACCAAAGCATGGCAAGGGATGAAAGATGGCATACAAACATGCAATTTCCAGTTCTGAAATAAGATGCTCAATGGTCCCGAATCATGGAAACATGTCACCTAATGCATGAAATAGGCCCCGAAACTCAAAACTAGGCAAATGCATTGAATCACAAGTATGCAAAGCAAGCATTATTTGACCGTGAGGCATGAAAACAGAGCCAAGGCAGTCCTAAACATGCACCAAATCAGTTCTAAGCATGGCCAAATGTGTTAATCATGAAGGGCTAAAACAAAATGCAGCATAGGCTAGTAAGTATGGTTTATATGGCATGTATATGAAGCACAAGAAAGGTCACCAAACCAGCCACAAATAGGAACATGGTATGCTAAAATATGCCCAAATAACCACTGAAATGTATACAATGCATGCAAAAATGATGGGCTCCTTTGGAGGGCCATGAGATGGATTACTCAACACATACAAGATAGACACGTGAAATGACAAAACCAACTCTAGAAATCAGCTATCACAGCCCTAAAACTCACCAAAAAGGCCCTGAAATGGGTCAATGAAACATGCAATAAAAGGACCCCTTGAAAGGCCTTGAGGAGGATTGCTCCACACATGCATGAGGGACACAAAATATGACCAAAAGGGCCCTGGACAGAGCTAAGGCAGACCTCAAAACTCACATAATAGGGCCTGAAACGAGGCTTCAAAGCATGCAAGATGGGGCCCCTTTGGAAGGCCAAAAGGGCCAACGAACAAGACAAGGAGAGAGGGGGTCACCCCCCTCTGATTTTGGCTCTCAAAACAATGTGATAGCCACTTAAAATCCACTAGATTTCAGTGGCTAGAGGCCAAACAAAGCATGCAACAAAGGCCTAGATGCAAGGCTCAAAACAAGAGGCAAACAAGCATACAAGGAAGTAAATGATCTTAAACATAAAAATTCCCTTAATCAAACATCAAGA